GAGATTTTCATAAAAATGAGTTCATTAAACCCATATCTAGCGATCCCAATGCTTCAAATAGCAATTAAACATCTACATTTATCGTTATTTGTACGTTTTCTGAGAGGAGTACCTTTTCTCCGCTCCTTTCTCGCTGACTGTCATAAAGGCGCTTCCGATTGCGCGCGATCCCGATAAATATACATATTGTCACAAACCCCAGCTGGAGTGCCCATGAACCACCAGAGGGCACTCCATCCCAGACTGTTGTTACACTCTCACAGACTACATTCCCCATAATCCTTTGCCAGACTCATCACTTAATTGCATTCACCTGTGTCTTGTTACCCCGTTACATCTGTGTTTTCTGAGTCACATAGCGAAACCTTGTTAGTTGTAACTGCATTTCTGAGCACTCTCCCAGGTTTATGTCTCTTGGTTTTTTTGATCTCTTGCCTGTTTCTTGGATTTACCCTTTTGACTGAGTTCCCTGCATTGTCGTTTGTCTGGATTGCCTACCTGTGTTTTGACCTGCTGCCTGTATTTTGGATCATGTCTCTGGTCTGTCCTAAATAACATTTGGATTTCCTATCTTTCAAGTCTCCAAGCAGTATGTTACACATATACACAGAATTACAGTATTCATGCAAGCATAATCTGTTATGTCTTAAGTGTCCGTTTGGCGAACTGTTGGGGAAAAACATCTGCGTAACATATTAGATCCGTGCATTACAGTAGGTCTTAATATATAGGCCGTCTGTCTCATTAATGTTAATCTAACGATAAAAGAAAAGAGGGAATCACTCGCTGCTCTTGATTGAACTGCTTTTGCAGTTTTAATAATATATTTATTTGTAATAAACTCACTAAAGGGATTTTTACATTTGATTATTTGTTTTTCTTACTTGAATGCTTTTGCTTAGATGTAAAATGAAAAAAGCAATGCATTTGTTTTTTTCTTAAATTTGTTCTACTGTTTTTTCTGTTTGTTTTTATGCATGTATCCTTATAATAACAAAGATAGAATAAAACAAATATGATTATTAATATAGTAATTATTATTATGAACTGGCGGGAAAGATGCAACTTTGCTCTGTGCTTTGGAACCATTAGAAAACTTTAACTCGATTTTTCACAAAATTGACTTTGCTGACTCCATCGACGCATGTAGCTCAGTCATTCAACCAGTGGTTGTCATTTTTTATATGTACTGTATGCATGAGCATTATCATTGCACAGCCAGTAGTGTTGTTGAGCATTGTGTGGAAGATGCTCTCTAGCATGAAGGACACACAAGTGTGAAGCTCTGCTAAGCTTTGTCAAGGACTTGCTCATTCACTTCTGAAACCCGAGAGAGCGTGTGTGTGTGTGTGTGTGTTCAGTGTTAACATGGTGTTGTGTTTGTACATATGCTAATGTGCTCTTAGGTCTTTCACAGTGATTGCGGCCCATTTCACATTTAAAGTTGTCATTAAACCTATTATTTCAGTGACTGTTCAACAACTAAACATTGCAATACTCCTCTCTTTATGTATCAAGTTCTTTATGTATTAGTCACACATATGAATCATTGTTGAAATACTAAATACAATTTGTCAGTATAAAGGGAGTTTCTATAGCAAAAAATATATCAGGGGGAAAAACAAAACTAGCTGGTTCATTTTCAGGAAGTAGTGCCATTTAAGCTAATGCCATACAAACTAACTAACAAATAAAAAGGTGGATGCATCCTAGATTAGTGGTCAATGGGTTACTCAATGGTGATTTTTAAAAAGAAAATGGGCTACATTTGTAAGATCTGGTTGTATCATTGTATTTCTGTGTGCATGTCTTGCAATAAATCATACATTGTAATTGGAAGAAAATATTGATAAACCATTTTAAAACAATCCTGTTAAATGCTTTTACACCACGTCACTTTATTCACATTCAATATTATTGTGTGTTTGGGTCAATAACACATTTGCTATTGGGATTAATGTAGCGTTCTTGTTCAGAATTCAGCTCAGAATAGTTCTCGAATATACATTCTACCGACAGTGTGCAATGGACACCATATTAAAATACTCTGACAATGTTTTCTTCATGACTATGCAATGGTGCCTCAACACAAAATCTACAGAGCAAAACATACTGTGTGGCCAGTGTAGTCAGATTCTGAAGAATGACTCTCGACTCTACAAGCCAGTGGATCAAAACCATAAAGCATAACAATTGCATTTTAATTTTTTTTAATGAACAGGCGACCAAAAAAAACAAAAAAAATCAGTTTTCAGTCTAAGTAGTAAGGATATAACTGTTGGAAATTTGTGTATTTTGGCCTTAGTATTGACAGTTTTATGCATCCAAGAAGAATTGTTCCAAACCACAGAACCATTGCAACACGGAGGAGCACACAGTTGTGATGTTTTGTGCCTGAATGGTTCAGTGTTTTTGAATGAATCAGTTGAGTGAATAATACAATGACTCACTAACCCTAACCCTAAAACCAGGTATTACAATGTAACTGTTGCATAAAAGTATTTCAAATGTATACAAAGTAGGAATAATATTAATATTTTAAAAGGATTCAAGGCTTTGATCTGTCTTCTCTTTTGGTACATGACGGTTTTTCATTCCTGTCAATGTGTTAAAGACTAGTTTCCGACTAGTTCAATTGTGTCATGCAAACTGGCCTATAAAATAATGGGCAACACTTTAAGGTTTTTTAAGGTTCAATTTGTTAGCATTAGTTAACTGCATTACTAAAATGAACTAACAATTGAAATACTTCTAAAGCACGTATTAATCTTAGCTATTGTTAATTTAAACATTTACGGATACATAATTACAATCCAAAGTTGTATCTGTTAATATTTGTCATGGATTTGAGCTAACATGAACTATTAATTTTAACACAGATTAATACGTTATAACAAATGCATTACTAATGGGACCTTATTGCAAAGTATTAAGTTTTAAGATGTGCTACACACACACAAAAGTAGGCTCTGTTTGTATGAACGGTGTGTATTCCACAGTAAGATCTATGAAATACTGTGTGCATATCCTGTATCTGTTGTTTAAGAGCGTCCCAGTTATTCATGAGTTCAGAACCACTTCCAGTTTGTTGACTTCATCTCATTTTTGTTTATTTTACACTTTTGTTTGCCTTTGTCCATGTCCACCGGGTTTCAAATCCACTTACCCAGCGTCCATTATCCGTTTTTTTAAAATATCTTCTGGATCTCCAGTCGAGATTGTGCTAATAATCGTGTGCTGTTCACCGACGGCTACAGTTAGGAACAGATTGTTCTGGAAGAGACGTGAGATACTGTGAATGTTGCACTGTGACGAACAAGCCAGGTGTGACCCTTTGGAGGAGCGCTGAACACGGCAGAGACAACAAATCTAATACAAGCACTTGTGAGATGTTGAATGCAAACTTGAGATGTTTGAATGTAATCTACAGAAATCTCAGGTTGCTTGAAGAGGAGTTACTTCACTTTTTTTTCACCCCACCAGGCCCTCTATAACACTTAGTCGGGTGAATCTCAGCACAGTTTCCAAGACAACAGTGATTATATATTATTTTCAGGCTAACACTGATATCTAAGTCCTGTTGGATAATGATGAAAACCCATTATCTGTTAATCTGCATAAAGAAATCAGTCAGGTCTTAACAAGGACTTTTCTAAACTTAACTAATTAAAGAACAGAATAAGAGTTTGTTTGTGAAGGCCACCAATATGTCCAAAGGAATGTTATTTCTTGCTTGCTGGGAGCTGGTACTGGTATTAATTAATGGTATTAATGTTACCTGTTCATTATTACATGCTGTTCTTTCACTTCAAAGCATCTTATCTTCAACAAAGCTGCCAAAACCTATTTGTCGGTTCTTAGATGTGGATATTTCAGAGTTTAAGTTTAACCTCTGTCTCGCAGACGAATCACTGCATTTGGACTTTAACCTTTGTTTTCTATGTTACGTAAATCTGATCGTCATCACAGAGCTTTGAGACATGGGAATAAACACTCCCACGTCCACTCCACAGGGAGCTCGCGGATTCAATTTATGGCCAGGCTGTCCCCAGAAAGCATCAGGACACTTGTCTTTCCTCGTTTTTATTGTTGCATTAGAGCTGCTTGCTGTATTAAGTGGTCCAAATTGACCTTTTTCTAAGCTCCTCCCCTTTTATGGATATTGTTGCTCACTCAGGCAAGCTTTATAGATCGTTCCATTGAAATGAAGTGGAGAATTCTGAGAACAGCTTGGAAAATTTATTATATTAGACAGCGGCATGATTAAACTGTGGAGACAAAAAAATCAGAAAAAAATCACAAGCAACTAAAAAAAAGAAAAGCTTTCGAAACATTGAGATGAGTGTGAGTGAACAGAATCGTTCCTGATGTTTCTACGATATCCTCAGCAGTGTAGAGGAGACCAGAGAGTGTAATACTCATACATAGTTATTTTTGCAAATCAGCATATTAGAACGATTTCTGAAGGATCATGTGACACTGAAGACTGATGCTGAAAATTCAGCTTTACATCACAGGCGTAAGTTACATTTTACAAAAATAAATAAATTGTAATATTTTCACAATATTGCTGTTCTTACTGTGTTTTTGATCAGCCTTGGTAAGCTGAATAAGCTACTTTTAAAAAAAAGTCTTAGCAAAGACCAAACTTTTGAACAATGGTATAGATCAGGGGTGCCCAAACTCGGTCCTGGAGGGCCGGTGTCCTGCAGAGTTTAGCTCCAACCCCAATTAAACACACCTGAACCAGCTAATCAAGCTCTTATAGGCATACTAGAAACTTACCAGCAGGTGTGTTTAGGCAAGTTGGAGCTAAACTCTGCAGGACGCCGGCCCTCCAGGACCGAGTTTGGGCACCCCTGGTATAGATTAAAGAAAGAGCAAAAGCTTGCCTGATAATGGTGGAAGGCAGCAGTTCATTTGATGGTGAGTGGGAGAGGTGTGACGTCATGTGAAATCACAGCAGGAGTCTAATCATGTTCTTCTCTCTGTTCCCACAGGCTGCCCTCAGAGTCCCATGAGCAAAGCCTCGCTAACACTGATCACTGTCTGCACGTGTGTGGTGGCGGTCGTGTACGGCACGCAAACGTCCTGTCCTCTCACCGTCAAGGTCACGCTCCATGTTCCTGAACACTTCATCGCTGACGGTGAGCAATCTACAGTCAGCCACAGTTAATTATTTTAAGACCGTAAGGAACCTTTTTTTGTCATAGTGCCTTTTTACTACATTAAAGTAGATTCAGAACAACAATACAAACAAAATGTTAATGATATCAACATTTATTTACCTGATTCCAACATGGTGAATTGTAGGCTTTTTTTGTTTACTGTGATGTATTTAGGAGACTCTTGTGTCTAAAGTGACTTGCATTGTGTTCAAAGTATCTTTACATTGTTTATTAGTTCATGCATTCGAATGAACAACCTTGGTGTCAGAAGGCAAAATTATATTTTGCTGCTTCGCAAACACTTTCAAAGTGCACTAACAGTGCCTTCAGATTTATCTGAAACAGATTTAAGTGGCTCGTGTTTCACGGGACTCGTACCCAAGTTCTTTACATTACAAGTGCAATGCTGTACCGGGTGCGCTTCTGAGCAAGTTTACTATGTCAAAAAAGCCACACATATGGAGCTAGTTATGTAATGCAAACATCAAAATGCATTAGTCTACAAATTATACACTATGATGAGTTCATAAAATAGTATTAAAATAGTAAAGTGCAATGCTGTTCCGGGTGCGCTACTGAGCAAGTTTACTACAGGGCTCCAAACTGCGGCTAAAACGGTTGCATTTGCGACCAAAAATATTAAATTGCGAGTGAAGTTTTTGCTGAGGCACAGCAGCATTGTCGCACACAGTCTGCTAAATATCAGACAGTTCAGTTGTGCAGCGCGAGAAAGATTGAAGTGACGGAGACGTAAGAAGTGAAAGTACAGAAAAACAGCATCTATTTCGTGCACAACTTGAACAAAGTACAACAAAGCTGTAAGCTGTGTGGATATTGGCAATATCATTAACAATTCTCGTTTATAATCATTACTAATATGGCTTCTTCTTAACAAGATCTTAGTATATGCTGTGTTCTGTTAATGCGTGAACTTCATTATTTGAAGCACACTTGCCGTACAGTTATCGCAAAAAGCTTTGTGCTTGGTTACTTTTTAACAAGCAAAGTATCAGCTTTAAAATTATTCAAAATTCATAACGAAATACAACCAATGCATACAGTTGTGCTTAAAAGGTTCGTCACATAACCATTTTTGGTTCCACAAAGAACCATTCAGTCAAAGGTTCTTTAAAGAACCATCTCTTTCTCAACTTTTTGTAATCTGAAGAACCTTCTGATGTTAAAGGTTCTTTATGAAACCATTTAGACATAAAATGTTCTTCTATGGCATCGTGAAGCACCTTTATTTTTAAGAGTGTATGACAACATTTACAGGATGCATTGAGGTGGAGCCCAAACTACACTCAGTGACCAAGTGATGCTTATGGTCCACGATATTGGTACAGATTCTGTGTAATAAACAATGCGTGACTATTTCAAGTTGGAAAATACATTTAGTTTCCACTTTAAGTGAACCTTAGTTCCCAGGTCATCTACAAGATGGATTCAAATGCTGATAAAGTCAAGAAAAGATGAGACATGAACACATGACAGTATGATTGAAATGTTAAAATGTAAAAAAAATCAAATAAATAAAACGTTTATTATATGGCACATAAAAAAAATAATTTGGCGTCTATGTTTTTTTTCTTATAGGATCCAATGGCTCCTTACTCAATTTTTTTTTGTTTGGCGCCCTGTACTATGTCATAAAAGCCATACATATGGAGCTAGTTATGTAGTTATGTAATCAAAATGCATTAGTCTACAAATCATGCACTATGGTGAAAGTATTTTGAGCTCATAAAATAGTATTAAAGTATTAAAATGCAATGCTGTTCCGGGTGCGCTACTGAGCAAGTTCACTATGTCAAAAAAGCCACACATATGGGGCTAGTTATGTAATGATGACATCAAAATGCATTAGTCTACAAATCATGCACTATGATGAAAGTATTTTGAGCTCATAAAATAGTATT